ATCCATCAGGTCTATTTCTGCTATTTGAATCTAATAATGCTTCAAATCTGATGACCTCCCAATACTAATATAAAAATCTGTCCATCAAGCATATCGATTTTGGGAGGTTTAACAGTATGTATCTTTTAATGAAACGTTCAATTCTTTAATGACATTGTGTTCCAATTATTTATACATATTCGAAGTGCATTAACGATCTTTACACATATAATATGTGGGTAAAATGAAAAATATTCACGAATTTAAATACTTCCCAAAACTGACATGCATGGTGGACAGATTTTGTATCAGTATAGAAATGTCATCAGATTTGAAAACATTATAAACTAATAGATTTATATAGCGGAAACCGACTTGGTGAATTAAATAGTTTATAATGTTATCAAAATGAATTACCTCAATACTGATACAAAATCTTTCAACCATGATATCGATTATGGAAAGTTTAACAGCGGTTGAAACTGGGAAGCAAAGCTCCCCACTGGTGTTCCGAGTTGGTTAAAATTTTACATGTTTTCAATAAATTTGATTGGCATAATAAATAATCACATGTTTTCCGTATCATTTCAACCATTCTGATTGGCTAAAAAAATTCTACATCTTAAATTATTATGTAGACAATCAACCAACGATTAGTTGATTAAAAATTTCCAATCGATTAGTCAACTAGTTGTCAACTAGTTGGTTTTTCAACTAACGATTTACTCCCCGCATATAATTAACATATAAATTACAAAATTATGAACCAAAAAAATTTCACACTATTGAATCACGTTTTGAACATGACTAATCAAGCTTCCGATTGAGTATATAAAATATGGGCAATTGCGGATTTTTGTCGGACATTTCGGAAATTTGCATGCTGGGCGAAACTAGTATCGCCCCAAATTTCGGATTCGGATTTGGCGAAATATTTGGTTTCACCCGAAACATTAGTAGTAACTAAAAATTTTTCTTTAAAAACATAAATTTTAAGAAATTTTTAAAGTTTTAATGGTAAAATTAAAAAATTAGGTTTATTAAAAGTGTAATATCTTTGTCAAAATTAAAGATAAAATAATAAAAAATATATATATATATATATTATTTATAAAAACATCGAAAATTCTTGTAGATTTCAGAACGTGAAAAACCGATCAGTAACTTGATAGTTTATTTGAATCATTTTTTTGTCCGCGAATTTATATCTTTAATTTTAACTTAATAAATAGGGGGGAAAGCTTGAATAAATTTTGAGAAAATTTAAAAAAAAAACTTTTCAAAAATCATTTTAGCAGGCAAATTTGCCCGCTAGACAGTTTAAGGGATAAGAACGGAATATGTACAATAAAATTTATTTAAGGATCGTATACAGTACTGTACGTACCTCAAAAAAATTGTAATAATTTTATTTTAATGGTCCGTTGTAAATGTAATTTTATACGCTAATTTTTTTTTTTTTTTTTTTGAAAAGAAATGTATAATTAATATTACAAAAATTTAAAAGTTTCGTACAGCAAGTCTCAAAAATTTAGTAAAGAAAAATGAATTTTCGATTTTGAGATAAGTATGCTAAGAAGGGAAACATGAAAAGATGGCTTGTGAACACAAGGCGTTAAAATTGGAAACTTGAAAATTGATATTATCCAATTCTAACAATTATCGTAATACATTATGAGAAAAAAAAAACCGGAAAAAAAAAGAAACACTAATTCTAAAATACATAATAAGAAACGTGTATATCTAGTATTGCAGCTTTATCGTTATTAATATACGTACACGAATGTGGTGAAGTATTTTTTTGGAACAAACAAGATTTTGTAATCTGATTAATGTGGCTTTCACTTCAGTTAAATTAAGATTGCGCACGTCAATTTTAGACAATTTTACAGAGCATTTGTTATTATAAGTTATTCAAAGAAATGTCTAGGAAAACTCCTTCAATATTTGCTATTATAGTATATCAAGGGATATATCTTTTGGCGGGAATTTATCAAACACTTAGTATACAATATTTATATTATCAAGGAGCTGCTAGTATGTTTTTTTTTTTTTTTCGTTACTAAATCTGCAAAGAATTTTTTTTTTGAGAAATTATTGTGCTGAAATATGAATTTATTTTTGTTATTACAATTATTTTTAGATGAAAAAAGGTATTTATTTGTTCGATATTTTTTCGATTATAACAAATTTGAAGTATTTATTTCATATTTGCATTATCACAATTTTTTTTTTGCGTAAATGCTAATCACAAATTTTATAGTCTTTTGGTGAATGTTATACATTATATTGGTGCAGCCTTGGTTGGAATATTACTTATGCCCGCATGGTTTGCAAAAAGAAAAGCACATGAGACCATCATAGATAAAACTGATGACCCAGAATTTGACATTGTTAATATCTACCACTTTTTAATGTTTGAATTAACATTGAGTTTTATTTATGTTTCATTCGTTTTAAATAAACATTTTTTTATAAACATTTTATTAGGTAACGAAAGCTCTTAAAGATTATCAGTTATTACCTGAAGAAGA